TGTACTTTTCGTTTATCATTAGCTATTGTACATTTTTCAATAAACACTTCTAATTAGAATTTAAGAATTTATGATTTAATTCTTATTTATGTCAAGAGTAGCGCAACTGTTTCCGAGAAATTTTAGAGATAGTACATGTTATATTGCTTATTTTATTATTTCGTTATTTATATTATATTTAAGAATTGCATTGATGAAACATTCTTTTGGTAATATCGTATCAAAAGAAATAGGTATACATAGAAAACAAATTAAATGAATAAAATTTACATATATAATAAAATTAGAGAAATATTTTCATTATTATATTATTTCTATTAAATTTCTATCTTTATAATACGGAAAAATTTATATATAACTGTTATATTATCTATTGTATAATAACTTTATCTTATAGTTCTCATTGGTGTTTAGTTTATCTTGTAAACATTTTAATATTAAAGTGAAGTGTTCAATTTTACATACCTTTAAATTAGTTCAGATAATTCTAATGTATTTTTATTTACACATATACGTAAAAAGCTAAAATGGAAGCTTATTTATTTCAATTCTAAAAATTATCTTGTAATTAAATTTTAATATTTTCAAAGATCCGTCGATCTGGAATTGGGACATATTTTTCCTAAACACAAAAGCTGTTTGAATGAGAAAATATATCGTTTACACATATCAACAGAGCATAATAGTGATCTTGCCTTCCATGGAGTTTCACATGGGCTGTACTAACACGGAGCAAAATATAGACGGTCTCATGTTAGCCTGTTGCGGTGTACTCGGAGTGGTAAAGACTATATGTTTCCGTATTTACGCGAAAAACTTAACTGACAATTACAGTTCTGCCCAGAATGATTATTTGACGATTGAAAACACAAAGTATCGTGCCATCATGCGGAAACACGCCTTTATGGGAAGAATTCTCTCCTGTTTTATGGTGTGCTTCTCTTACATTAGTGTAACGATATATTCATTAATTCCTCTTCTTGGTGAAGATCTACCTGATGGTCAAGATAATCAGATTAACGGAACAAATGAGGACATTATATTGGACTATCCAATGCCATCAAGATGCGCGTTAGAATACTTACGTGTCCCAACGAGCATGTATGAATTTATCTGTATCTACGAGTTTATTGTGCTGGTGCTTACGTGCACTTGTAATCACGGTAATATCTATTTTTTGTTTAGTATATATCTTTTTTTTACATCTTTTCATCATATAATGTTATTTAAAATGTACCAGAGTTCTGACCACAAAATTGTATTCGAAAATTTTATTAACTTTATTGAAATAATTATTATTTGTTTATTGTTAATTATAAAGATTTATTCTAAAAATTTTCAAAAGTAGAAAATATATTTATAAAAATGTTATACGTAAAAGATAAAATTTAATCTTATAGATAAAAATAATACGAAGAATTTAATAATAAATTATAGAATAGGCCATGGGGAAATTTACAATTTTTTAAATAATACAATAATATAAAATATAATTAAAATTATTAATTTTTTGTTATGTGTACAGAATTCATAGAAAATTGAATGTTTTATTTTAATTAGTTTCTACTTAGATTTAGCAAAGAACTAAAGACAAAAATCAATTATTGTATTAAAAAATTACTACCTGCTAACAGAACTGCTTTGTTCGATACTCAAATGGTATTTAATTTTCTATTATCATATGATAATAAATTAATATTTAAGTTATGTTTCATGTTATTTTATTTTAAAAATTGTAAGATTTCCGTGGCTTACTTTATATATGTATTTTTTATTATATTAATAAAATAAAATTTACATTGTTGTATTTCTTTTTTTCTTTTAAAGGTAGCGATTCTTTATTTCTCAATATTACATTGCATATGTGCGGCCAAGTAAAAATTCTAAAAGCCAATTTTGTCAACTTTGTTGTATCAAGTTCGCAAGTCAACGATCGTTTCAATGCTTTAATTCAAAGGCATAACTGTCTGATGGAATTGGCCAAGGAACTGGCCGAATCAATCAGTGTAGTTTTGCTAACACAGTTATTTATTAGTAGCATTCTTTTGTGTATAATGGGTAAATATTGTATTATTTACGATATTACAAAATTTTGTTTAAATGTGTATAATTTACAAAAATCTTAAATAGATAAATAATTTTTCTTGTATTATTGCATAGTATAATGCTACAAATGCTACAAATATGGTATATATGCATGTCCACACATAGTATGTAGTATATATATATATGTATTGAATTATTTAAGCAACAAAAAACCCGTTTCGTTATAGACATTGAATTTCTATTTCTTATTAATTTTTCAGGGTTTCAATTTATCTTAGCATTAAAAACACATAACGTTGTTGTTATGGGAAAAAGCGTTATGGTATTGTGTACCTTTTTAACGCAATTATCCATATATAGTTTCGTCGGTGATTATTTAAAGTCCCAAATGGAAGAAATTGGATTTTATATTTATCAAAGCAACTGGTACGATCTTCCTGCGAAATTGGCAAGAAATTTAATCTTCATCATTATGAGAACACGATCTCCTGCCAAGCTGCTGGCTGGAAATTTTATTGTAGTAAACCTGGCAACATATATGAGTATCCTGAAAACTTCTATTTCATATCTATCTGTATTACGTGTAATGATAGAAACATAAAATATAATATGCGTGATAAAAATATTTTACAAAGTTCAAATCTACGATTCGAAATTATGTTTGACGAGAGAAAATTCTGTAGAATTAAAAGATTATTAGAATATCGTTTTAGTAAAATTGCTCTTATAATCACAATATAATCGCCTAATTATGCTGAAAATCAATTATTTCTTTTTATAAAGGAAGTATCAGAAATATGTACTTATTTGATAAAAATACACTGTCTTGTAAGAAGGTCTAATTTTAATATTGTATATCTTTTTTACAAAAAACTTTCTCTTTTTGTTTTTATTCTGTAAACTTATATTTTTATCATTTTAAATAGTTAAGTTATCAATAATTGCAAGTAGCATCTTGCAAGTATCACATTATTAACAAGTTATACTTTGCTAACATAATTTAAACGTAACAATTATTACCTTTTATCAATCCTTTGTATCCAATTTTGAATGTCTAATTGTTACGTAGCATTATTGGGATGTACTACTTGAAATGTCTTTTTAATATTTGATCGAAATCCAAAAACCCATACCATGAATAATTAATTGCACTATAAAAAATCACACTTGTCTTGAAATACAATAATACATCAACGTTATCAATCAGATTGGTACAGATATTACATTTTTATGAATTACACTGTATAACTTTCAAATTCTGATTTAATTAATCATATACATATATCAACCAACACACTTTTTTGTTGTCACTATTACCCAAAGAACGCACAAAAATCAACAAAATTTCAAAATGACTTTATTTTGATACTTAAAAATAAACAGTCAAATTTTGTATCCAAAAATTATCATTTTGACGTCAAAGTATGTCATTTTGACTTTCTCATGACTTGGTGTGTTCCTTGGATAAAGCGATCTTTTTTTTATTGCGCTCGTACTGCAGGATAGCGGAAGATGTAGGCATGCGTACTAGTCTCTTTTTACATTTATCTTACTGCCATTCATCATACACCGTATGAACTAATAAAACATGAGAGCCTAATGGGGATAATAATGTCTTATCTGCATATTCTATGGTAATGTTCATGACAAAGTTCGACGTTGAAATTGCGCCATCAAAAATTGCACCCATAGTAATGTTTTATAACAACGTTTGTAAATTGATGTAGAATTTGCAATATTGAAAATTGTACTTATAATAATGTTCATGTCAACGTTCGTAAATTGACATTGAAATTTTGCGACATCAGAAATTGTACCCATAACGATCGACATTTTTTAATGTTTAGTCATCCGTGTAGTTTGTGCGATCACTATAATGTTGGATGACGTTTGGAACGATAATATCGCTTATGTGTTCTCTATTCATAGAACATTTATGCAAATATTCGGTATATGGCCATTTCAAAAGAGAACAATAGTCACGATAATCCAATGGAACGTAATGATATTTCTACAGGTACGTTGATAGTACGTTGAGAGAGAGAGAGATAGAGAGAGGGGGAGGATACCGGGACGAGAGAATTTCTAAGTCTAACAATAAGAACAGTTTTATGCACAGAAAAATTACTAAATATTTTCATAAATAGCGCGAGCTTTTCAAGTGCAAATATATTTTATACTTATTATTATACATGCATATGTCATATTTTCTAAGGCAATGGGGTCATTATTAGCTTGCACCACTCATCTTCCTATTTATGGAATTCGCTGGAAATAATAGTGATGCCGGTACAAATATAGATGCCATATTATATCTTTCGTGCACGTTGAGTTTAAATTTGAAATATATCTGTATTGGTGCTAATGGAGGAAAATTGGCTAAAAACATTAAGGCTGCTGCTGCCGATTGGGTGTCTGTAAAGAATGACAAGAAGTCGTATAATATCATGAAGAAATATGCGTTTCAATCCAAACTGTGTACTCTTACGATATTGTATTTATCTTTCACGTGTGGTTCTCTTTATACGCTGTCCGTCATAATTATGAACTTAATAGGAATATTTTTTCAAGATCAAATGGTGAATGTATCAAATGGTAATGTGATATTTTTAGAATATTTGTTAAATTATTATCTAATAAAAAGTGCCTTCTAAATAAATATACATACTAGAATGTTAATAATAATAATTAGGAATTATCTTAAGAAATTAAAAAGTCCATATTTTTTAAATATTCAGTATTGTCTTAACAAGGTAGCGTTATTTGTTGCCAGTTTAACGTCAAAATGATATTTTTAGTAACATTTTGACATTAAATTGACAACAAATAACATTTGACTCTATACCTACAGTGTATTAGAGATAAATCAATTTTACAAATTATTTTTTTATTATCTATTGAATTTTCTGTTCAAGATCTTGAGAAAAAAACATACAATCATATAAAAAGTACATACAATCATATAAGTACAGCTATCGTTTAGCTTTTCTATTTAATAAAACAGACATGATCCACATATTAACATTTTAATTCTATGTTTATTATATTATTTTATTATTTATTTTTTTAACTTTAACTCTTTTATTCTAATATTTTTAATATTTAAATTAATTATGTTACATTTTGTTATGTTATTGTTCTTAAAACTTGTATTCTTATTGTATACAGATAATGTTAGTGCAACAAATAGGCAGTTTATAATCCCGTGTGGTGAGTTTCTTAACGATATTAACGGGTTGCAGTATACGATGATCATTGGCTTTCAAACTGTTCTAATGCTCGTGATATGTACAATGTATCCTATTACGGACAGTCTTTACATTAACGTTACTTTACATCTCACTGGTCAACTTAAAATACTAAAAAAAAAAATTAAAAATTTTGCAAGTAAGCCAGACACTCAGATAAATCATCGAAAGCAATTTATTAGTTTGATCAACAGACACTGCGAATTAGCGGAACTCAATCAGAATTTGGAAGATACATTCAATCTGATTATATTATTCCAACTTGTTATAGTAACGCTTCTGCTCGCGCTACTAGGTATCGTATCAAATATTTTATATTGAATTTATTGTAAATTTAATGATATTTACAAATTCATATTTTTTTATTAAGGTATTAAAATGTACCGTATTGTATTGCAATTAAATATTTAATAGTATTATATCACGTACATTAATCTTTAAGTTTTCATCTTCTCGTCTCTTTTAGGATTACAAATAATATTTTGTTTAAAACATCACAATTATGTCGATTTAATAAAAAGTATTCTACTTTTAAATTATATGCTTATGCAATCGCTATTGTACTGTTATGGCGGTGATATTGTGCAAAAAGGAAGTGAAGATATATTCCATGCAATGTTTAAGGCTTCCTGGTTTACGCTTCCCGCAACGATGATGAAGGACGTGAACTTTGCAATGATGAGATCAAGCTATCCGTTTCGTTTCACTGGTGGAAAATTTTTCTATGCTAATTGCGAAGCAATAATATACGTTTTGAAGACAGCGGCTTCATATATTTCGGTTTTGCGAATGGCACTAAAAGATTAATAAAAATCAACAGATCTATTCAGAGAATTTGCAAAATAAAAATCATATGAAAATTATTGATACTATGTAAAATACATTTAATTAAAATACTTTCAATTATATACTTATAATTCCTATATATATATATATATATATATATAATATTATTATATTGATAATAAAAAAAGTTGTAATTACTATTTTAAATAACAATAATTGTTACTATACTATTATTATAATTTTATAGTAATTGTTACCAAGAATTTAACAATACTCCTAAAACAGAAATGCACAGTAACTGATCGTTGCTCCTTTCATAACCATGACTTCTACTTTGTCACGTGTATACTGCCGGTAGATAGCTTCAGTACTTTTTTTACTTTATTCAGTACATCGCTTAGATGATACAATAAAAAAACATTTTACTCGCGGAAAAGAAAAATAAACCTACTATACAGAACATCGTCGTTCAATTCGTAATTGAACGCGAGCATCTATGTCTATGCGCTGACACAACAGTATGTATTGAAAATTATGAGCATTACTTGCGGACGTTCGAAAGATGTGGTAGAGAGACACAAATTTGTATCGTATACTTATCTTACCTCCCTAAAGGTTGGCCAGTACGAAAGGACTAGATGCGTATAGACGTGGTAATTTTCTTCGGGGTAAAAGTAAGCCATCGACCCGAGCAATATCCAGTCACGCTACAATTTTCCTTTTTAAGATCGAAACCTACCAATACATTGCCGAACATGAAGACGAATTGGAACAGTGGTATAGATTATGGCTTTTCTACGATAAAATCGATGATGTGGATACTTGGTTTATGGCCGTTGCAGCAGGATAATGTAGTTTACACTATTCAGTGGTTCATAATATTTATAGCAGGGGTAAAATAACGTAACATAATGTAAGATAACATACAATGTAGAAATTAGCTACTTTTGTAATGATGTAAGAGAAAAAAAGATGCAATTTTTTGATAAAAATTATTGTAAACAGGTTGCAAGGTTGCATTGCATTTAGTTAAATTTTTTCAGTCAAACACAAGAAATTGCCTTAAACGGTCAAACCGGATCTTAGGTACTAATTATAATGCCGTGAGAATTTATATATTACATATGTAATACGCCACTCAAAATTGTTAAATTGCTAGATAATTTAATTCGTAATATTATTACGGTATAGTTTCGTAGAGTGGCGTTTCAAGATCGAAAAATTGTTCGGCGGGCTGTTAAAAGACTATGAATATAAATTCACACGGAATTATAATTAGCACCTAAGATCCAGCTCGACCGTTAAAGACAATTTCTTATTGGTTGTGTTTCTCACATGTACGGTCCTATAAGATTTAATATTTAAATATTGTTTTTCAGTCAAATTGAGAATGATAAGAATTTTGATTTTAAATTGTTTAATAATTAAATCTGTTATCTATGTATGATTGGAATAAATTCTATAACACGTGTAACAAAAATAACAAAAATATAACACATTAAAAGATATATATTATGCAACAATATATCATAATTAATTATAATTTAAGCATAAAGGATAATTGGTTTGTAACATTTGCACTTAACAGAATCAGACAAATACGTAAAGATGCTCCTGTTTTCATACATTTTATTACACAATTTCCACATTCACACAAAAAAGAAGATACAATTTCTTCAAATTATACCACACCATCTCACTTATTGTTAGACCGTAAGATTATGCTTTCATCTCTATGACATTGTAACATCTATAAGAATCGCTGAAAAAGGACCCGTGAGTTCCGAAAGAAAGAAACGATCGATATTATTTTTGTATTATTTTATATATTTTACTTTTTTATGTTGTATTAACATTGTAAACTAGAAAATTATTTTATAAAAAAATCTTATTACCGCTTGATTTAGACTGTTTTTTCTTTATACTTGGTAATTAAAAGTTTAACAGTTCAATCGTTTCACGATATTAACTATTTCTGAGTAATGCAACCTCATATGAGAATGCAATTTTATATTTGCTATCATGCAGTCTCTCACAATGATCAACGTGCTGATAGAACCTTTCAAGAGCTGTGATGCTGTTAGAGACGGTTTGGATATTCTTCGTCTAATAGAAAGCTGCATGCATGCGTGGTCGAATATTATTTTTCCAAAAATTTATATGAAAAAGATTGCTATTAATCTCAATTCTGCGATCGACGACTGGTCGTCTCTGTCCATGAAGGAAGAGTCGCGCGTGGTGATGATGGGGTATGCACGTGCAGGACGTCTAATCGCTCTGGCTCATTTGATTGCTGGAGCAACAGCAGGCACCTTATGGTTCATATCCGTCTTCCTCAGCAATAAACAAGAGGTTGTATTAAATCTTCATAAGATTATTGTTGAGTAAAATTGAAACATATTTTTGTCAATAAAAAGAATAGTTTTTGTTTTGTAAAAATTAATATAACCTAAATGTATTTTACAGGCTGCAATTATAGATAATGATACTGTAACTACATGGAACTTTGTCATACCATCAACATGTCTGTACAAAGAGATTTCGTATTCCACGTACAAAATATTATTTATGATGCAAGTAATACAAGGATCTTTGATATTGATATCAGAATGTGCTTGCGACAGTTTTTTCTTCGGTATCACTATGCATCTTTGCGGTCAACTAGAGCTTTTGGAGATACAATTTACGGAGATTAGCAAGAAACATTACGAGGAAAAGCGTCATAAAAATGTTCTAGGGCCATTGGTCAAAAGACATTGCCAGTTGATAGCACTGACCAGAAATATTGAAGACGCTTTTAATATCAACATTTTATTACGACTTTTAATAATTAGTATAGTTATTGCATCTTCAGGTATGTATGTAAATAAATTTTTTTCACAATTTTATATTGATTCACGTTGATTGACATTTTACACCCACCCACCCACTCATCCACACCCACACCCACACACATACACACACAAAATAAAATTCTATCTTAAAACTTGCCAGTAAAAACTATAAAAATGATAAAAATAGTTTCGCAATATAATTAGATTAAATTATTGAATTATTTTTAAAGTTTAAAGTATAATTTATAATAAGAAAGATTAAAAAAGTATCAATATAAAAGATAATAAAATATTAATTAAAGTTATAAAAGTGCACTATTAAGAAAAATACTTTAATACACGTATAAAATATATCCAGCATAAAAATCCAAGCTAACATAATCCCTTCATAATTCGAAGAGTTACGGGTTTTCAGGAGTAGGAATTCTCCTGTCCATCAAGGAACAAGATTACAAGGAAATGGTAAAAATGTTGATGTCCATTCAATTTTATATGGTACAGACCTTTTTGTACACGTATGCAGGCGATACTTTGAAGAATCGAAGCGAGTCAATTGTCTACGCCATATACAGCACCGCTTGGGACGAAATGTCACCTCTCATAGCGAAAGATTTAATATTCATTATGATGAGAATGAAGACTCCTCTTCGAATTAGCGCCGGAAAATTTTTCTATCTTACGCGAAACACCATGACAGACATCTTGAAAACTACCTTAACATACATATCATTTTTACAGGTGACAATTAACAAATCAGAAAATTCTCAATAATTTCTGCGATATAAAAAGCAATATAGATAAGAAAAATAAAACAAATATATTATTTTAGTACCTCACACCGTTTACTACTTTTAACATAACCTGTTACATACATACATACGATATATCTATATATCCGTTATCCTCTTTTTTCATCAATCTATTATATAATTTATATTGTATACGCCGGTTACACGTTCAAATTTCGCGTCGCCATCACTCACGTGATCGCTCATGTTTTTTTGTGTTGATGAGCCCCAGGGAGGGGACATCTCCAAATTACTCGTGGGGATGCAGCCTTTCAGGACATATAACGATTCAACATACGATTCAAAATTTTTTGTACTTTAGTTATAGTTATGCACCCCCGAAAAATGGACTTTGATGGCTCGGGATAAGAGACTTGTAGTGTCTTCCAGTTTTTAAACATGGCCGGAGACACTACCGCGTCTCCTGATAAAGATTCCGTATCATTTTGTCTATTAATTGCATGTTTTTGTCTCTTAATGTGCAATATTTCCGAAATCAATCTTTTGTTATAAGATGGTTCAATATCTAAAATTTTTACATTCTCCCAATTAAAATTGTAGTTATTTTCGATGCGATGGTTGGTGATGGCAGAAGAAGATTTCGCTTTTTTATTGATGTCGGAAGCGTACTCATGCAATCGTGTTTTTAGCTGCCTTTTTGTTTGGCCAACATAACTAACATTACAGTCCTCACATGAAATCTTATAGACATTTTGATTATGTGATGGTTCTAAATGGTCCTTTCCTCTTTTTATTAATTTTTTAAAATTATTTAGGATTGTGTAAGCTAGTTTACAATTAAAAACGTTAATGGTGCAAATTTTTCAGAAATGGAGTTAACATAAGGAACCGCAAAAAACTTTTTATTAGCATTATTATGATTAGTAATATTATTTTGATGAAATTTTATTCTATTATGGATTGTCGTCGAGAAAATAAATCTTAATGGATATCCATTATTTAAGAGGATGTGATAGCATTAATAAAATTATCTTTATGGAAACGTGGATGGCACAAACGAATTATTTTATCAACAAGTCTATGGATGACACTTTTTTTTATGACAGATATCATGTTGTGAATTAAAATTTAGAAATCTACTAGAAAAAGTTGCCTTCGGTATCCATCAAAGATAAGTCTCTTATTTTTAATAATTAATAGTGTAATATATATATAAATTATAAAAGCAGTATATTACAAATTTTGTTAAATTTCCGTTAAAAATTTAATTATTGAAAATGACCCAATTGAAACGTTTATTTATATTTTACATTAATTTAAATATATATTCTTTATTCTTTAACTGTAATTATTTTATTTCGGCTCGTTGACCGTGAAATTATATTTATTTTTATTTATTATTGTCGAGCCTTCTCTTAATATTATTATTTTAAAAATTATATCTTACGAAAAATCTATCTCTCAACCTAAACAAATAAAAACATAATTTTAAGATCCTTATTTTTTATTGATTTTATGCGAATTAATAAATACTTGCGATGAGTTGTTAAATATTAAAATTACATACCTTTAATAAGATATGCACGCGAAAAAATGTTTTAATTACTTAGCGATAATTCATGAATTGATAAATTGAATTCAAAACTGTATCATTCTCTGCATTTTTTTCTTTTATGAAAAAATATGTTGCAGGAAAAATTATATTAGAATATTACCAACATGACAGTCGAAGACGATGTATCGAAACAAAAATAAAACTCTCTCTTTTTTTTCTATTTTCTTTTTGTTCCGTACTTCCACATAAAAAGAATTTTACATCAATTGTTCTAAACAACTGTACTTTGGAAAATAACAGAGCATACGGATAAGTATTCAAATGGTGCCATTTCAATAAAATATGAACGCGAACGCGAATTTGATCGCATTATAGACAAAGACTGGCATTCGTGAATACAGTGCATCTGTCCTCGACTACCATAATGTTATGGAATGACGATATAGCGTACGCTATGACCCTCGTCAAACACTTAACCGTACCTATAGGTGCTTGGCCCTTGCAAGAATACAATAAGTTCACTTTATTGCGTCATATTTTGTCTAGTTTTGGATTGGTACGTTTCTAATTTTTATTTTATGAAATAAAATTGTTCTTCTCTCTCCTTGTGCCATCGATGTGTGAATATTTACTATGAAATATCGATATATTTTATAAATTGATTCACAACATCGAATGTTTCAAATAATATTGATACGATATAAGACACGATAAGAAGAACAAAATAGTAATCTCAACAAACAGATCCATTTTTATTTTCTGTGCAGAGTGTGGTGGTAACCGTACAGTATCTTGAACTCTATTACAATTGCACAAGCGCAACCGCGAATCTTGATGCTCTCACGCTCTTTTCGTGCGGTATCCTTGCTTTAACAAAAATAATATGGTTTCGTATATATGCTGATAATCTGATTTGCAATTATTCTTCTGCATTGAATGATTATGCTTTAATCGACACCGAGGAGAAGCGCATCATTATGCGAAATCACGCTTTCTGGGGAAGAATAATCTGTATTATCGCCTTATTGATCGCTTATGTCGATTCGGTGATTTTCATTGTGGGACACGCACAACTAAGCAGCGAGGAAGCTAAAACTAATCTAACTATCCTAGGACATCAAGCAGGATATGCTATTCCGTCAACATGTACCATGGCACATTTTCACATTTCAAAAGGCTTATATTTGATTATTTTTATACTGCAATACATCTATTTAGTAATCATGTGCATTAGCAATCACGGTAAGTTACATTATATGTTTACATAGTTACTTTTACAAAAAGTTAATTTATATTGTTTATATTATTCTAAATACGTTCGAAATATTTAATAAATATTTATTAATAAACTTTGTAATCCACGTAATTACATTTTGAATATAAACGAAGAATCAATAAGACCGTCCTTCTTAGATCTCCACGATTTTCAAAAAGTAATTTTTTCTGTATTTTATTATCATTAAGAATATAAAAATAATTATTAGGCAAGAAAAAGACTTGATCTATAAAGCCATAATTAATTAAGTTTATGTATGCTATTATACTGTAGTTTTTATTAACTATCCAATTCTGCTTATTAATTAAATGCATATAAATTAAATTTCTACATCTATTTTAATAAATTAAAATACGGTTTCCATTAATATTCCTTATTAACATACCTATTTTAGTTGATAGTTGTACATTCTTACGACATGTTCTTAATCCTCAAACGGCACACTTTATCTCAGCACCCATAAACACTGGTGCGAATTGGGATTTTGTGATTTCGTTCACTTATTTAACCATAATAATGTTCTTCAAAATACTTTCGAAACCATACTTTCCTGGAATAAAAATTTCTGAACAAAGCGAATGGTACAACTCGAATTTAGTTAATTTATTTTTAAGTTATAAAAAAATTGTTATTAGAAAAGGAAAATACCAACATTTTGAAAATTTTGCTCGTGCGAATTCACACCAGTGTACTGTGTTTGAGAGTTAATTGTAATGTTTTGCACAGGTAGTGATTCTGTATTTCTTCATATTGTATTACACGTGTGCGGTCAACTAGAAATTTTAAAGGCAAATTTTATTAACTTCGACGTGACAAGTCCAAAAGTCTATGAACGTTTTAATACACTGATTTTGAGACATGATTATTTGATAAAAATGACCAGAAAGCTTGCTGAGATAATTAGATTTGTTTTGATGGTACAACTCTTTATCAGCAGTATGCTTATAATTATAGTAGGTAAATATGTATCAATTTGACGTGTTCATGAATTAATAAAAAAAATATGAAATGTTATAAAATTTACATTAATTACTTGTATTTTTGTAGGATTTCAATTTATCATTGCCTTAACAACCAACGACTATGGTATGATGTCAAAAAGTTTCATGGTACTTAGCGCCTTTCTCGTGCAATTAACGTTATATAGTGTTGTCGGAGATTATTTAAAAACAAAGATGGAAGAAGTTGCGCAGTCTGTTTATCACAGCTTTTGGTATGATCTTCCTGTAAAGGTGACAAAAAACATAGTATTTATCATGATGTGGACCCAGCTTCCGATTAAACTGCAAGCTGGACATTTCTTAGTAGTAGATTTGGGGACTTACATGAGCATTTTAAAAACGTCTATTTCATATTTATCTGTTTTACGCGTAATGGTAGAAACGTAAAGCATCAGCATATAATAAATAATTTTTCACGTAAAGATATCTATAGAAATAATAATATACATAGAGCATAAATTTTTAATAAAATTGTATTAATTTATATAATCATGCTACTTTGTCTCTATATTCAAACGAATTAACAATTTTAATTGTTATTTTGTTGAACAACAGCAAAATATGAAATGCTTTTGCATAATTTTAGTGGTGGTAATAATATTATTCATGTTGTCTACAAAATTATTGCACTAAATTCCAAATTAGTCAAACTATTGCGCCATACTAATCATATCAATCAATTATTATAAAGTCATAACACTGTATTTTTGACGATAAAAAATGGTATCAGAGAAAAGAGATTGCAACAAAAAACAGTGCACTGAAGAATATGAAAGCACGGAAAGAATATGAAACATCCTCTCTTTCAATTCGAGTTTTACTCTCCCCTCCATCACGTTTCACAGAAAAATTGGTTTAAAACAAAATATATTAATATTTATAATATTAACATTATATTTTAAAAAAGTTTGTTCTAAAAATTAGAAAAAGATTAACAGTAAGTTAAACCGAGATTAAAAGTTAATCTGCATTGGTGGTAACAGGCATAAGTCAGATAAATCGCCACGTATTGTAATATAAAATGTTCTCTTTTACTGTTGTATATTTATTTTCTTAAATTATTTTTCTCCAGTTTTCAAAATTAGGAAGTAAAATTTATATTGTACGAGGGCAAGTCAATAAGTTCTTAGAAAATCTATCAGAGAGGGTACTCGCAGTGTCATGTCATGTCACATTTTTGACAAGTAGCATCTTTCAGCTGATTACTGTCAAATTTTGAGCGGAATTCATCGAGAGATTTAATTTCTGTAGACGATTAAGGAGATGCTGGAGTAATGGAGAGCCGAACTTGATCGAGGTCGATAAAGGGATAAAGTCGATTTTTTACCATCCGCCGGCCGTGCGCCGCCGCCGTTCAGTGCCGTTTCCACTTCTCACAAGTTCCCGGTCGCTCGGTTTGGTCGTACCATATTCGAACGGCGTGGAAAAGTTGGAGAATCGTTGGATCGAGTCTATCGAGCTGAAAGGAGACTATGTGTTGAGAAAAAAAAATAAATCGATCAAAAAAATGTGTTTTACTAATTTTTTCTGAAAATTTATTCGACATCGACTAATTTGCATTTAATCTCGTATTACTTTAGTGAATTTTGAAATCTAACAATTCCTATTACCCTTTGTTCTATCCAATTTGTTTTTTAATTATAAGGAGTCTTAATTGATTTTATTATTATATAAAGCAGAATTAGTTATTTCATTATTATATAAAAGAAATATGAATGCTTTAAGTGATTAAAAGTAACATATAACTTGCTTTTTGCATTCAGTTTGTTATCATAGTTCTTATCTAAAGACACCTAGATAATTAATTATATGTACAATAAAATTTTAATAAAATAAAATCATAATGAATTCGTCTATTCAAACAAAATTGAACTTAACAAAAGCAAAATATAAAATGTTTGTAATTAATTTTAGTGCTAACAACATTATTCATATCATCTAAAGAAGAACTGATCCACCGAATTCTAAGTTAATCGTACGTACATATCCTTCGCAAAAAAATTGTATCGGAATAAGAGTGTTGAAGCACGATTGATGGCAGATGTTATATTATTGGAAAATGCAACATCTCCCTTTCTTAATTTGGTCTTTGTGCCACTCTACTATCATACAAAAAAAATTGTTCCTTTTACTCTTTCAAGAATAACTGTGTTTTGAAAAATCATTAGGTATTATAATAAACACACCACTTCAATAAGATATGAACATGAAAGCGAACGTGATCAGCTCGTATTATGGACAAGGGCCAATATTATTGATATTACCGTGCAACGTGCAGCTCTACTTAACTGCAGTAATGACATCGAATGACGATATAGCATACGCTATGACTCCCTTCAAACTCTTAACTCTACCATTAGGCGTTTGGCCTTTGCAAAAATATAATACATTTGCTTTAATTCGTTCTATCATATCCGGCTCCAGTTTGGTACGTTATCAATTTTCGTATTACATATTCCAATAAAATTTCTTCAGAACTCGTATGTTGATACATCATGTTCGACAATTCAAATGAAATGTTTAGTACACAGTAAAAGCGCGAGAAACAGGAATAAAGCTCCGTTATAAATAGTCCATTCTTTCTGTCTCTGTAGACCGTGATGATGATCATGTTATTTTTTGAAATCGTTTTCGGTAGCAGCGATGTGTATATAAAGCTCGATGCTCTTATGCTTATGTTTTGCAACGTTCTTTCCGTACTAAAGATATTGTCATTTCGTATATATGCTGATAATATGATTCGCAATTTTACTTCTGCTATGAACGATTATCATGCAACCGATAACAAGGAGAAGCGTGCAATCATGCGGCAACACGCATTCATTGGAAGAATGATTAGCTGCAGTATCTTATTTTTTGCTTATTTGGCTTCAACAATTTTTTGTCTGGTGCCTATAATAGTTGGTGATGGAGAAAAAATTCAAGTTAATGTATCTATGAGAAACCAAGCATCTGATTTACCCATACCTTTAACATGGTCGTTAGGAAGCTATCATCTCTCTGTGACTTTATTCTCTGTGATATCTGTAGTGCAATATATTCTATTGGTGCTCAATAGTAACTGCAATTGTGGTAATTAGTTAATTGTTAATATCAATAAGGTTTGCGCATTAGTTTAAACGTTTTACAATATTATACAATGCGATAAGTACTTCAATATTTAAATTTGAGCTACTTATTAGTTTGCAGCGACTTTATTAACTAAACGCATATAAATTAAGAACTTGATGTTTATAATTCAATAAGACATTGTTTTTTATATAAAATATTTGAAAACAAATTAGAAAGAATAAAGGGTAATATAAGAGTCGGGTGCAGAAAACGTCGCGCAATTAAAAAAACACCACACACCAACAGAAATTATTCAATTAATTAAATTTTCGTCAAAGGTATATAATGAAAGAAAGCAGACAATCCACAGAAGCCATAACGACTTATTACTATGTATGTACAGCATTGACGAAAATTTAATTAATTGAATAATTTCTGTTTTGACATTGATTGACCAGCATATTAAGAACCGGTTTTTAATTAAAATTAGTATTGTTTGCGATGTGTGGTACTTTGTAATCGTGGTGAGTTCCTTTATTCTCAGAATGATTTATTATGTAATCTTAGTTCTTCAAAAATTAATTTTCACAATTTATTATTTCTAATATTTTCAATTTTTCAATTTTTCTTTTTTTTCTTATTCATCCATTTAGTTTTGTCTGTTATTTATTCTGTATCTTAATTATGACAACGTAGAGAAGCTCACCGTTGATTGAAAAATTGTATTGTTTAGTGTAAGTTAGTTTGTTTCTCTGAAGAAGGCTAAAAAGTTAGCCGAAACAAGAGCACTACTATCATAACATTATAAAAGAGCATTATTTGAATAAATGGGTTTTGTCACTTATTAATGGTGTTTTTTAATTGCGCGACGTTTTCTGCGCCCGACTCCTTTATTCTTTCCAATTTGTTTTCGAATTATAAGAAGTCTTAATTGATTTTATTATTAGAAGGTTTAAATATTTAATTTTTAAAGCTATAAGTACTAAGATAACGCTTGTTATGTTTTAAAAACGACAAATTAAGATATTAAATTTCGGTATTATAAACAAGCAAACGATGTAAAACAGATGACAAACTTTATTATAATAAATTCACAATTAAATTTTAAGCAATTCATTCTTTTGACAACTGTCTTCTTATACACATCACATTTGCGTTACATTACAATAAATTGGAGTTTGAGGAGAGAGAATTATTTTTGGAGCATCTGAAATTAACAATCATGATGCTGATACAGCTTTATGAGATGGTTATCTTTCCTTCAATTTATTATACAATTTGACTAACAATAAGAGAGAACATTGACTTATTGACTTTATATTTTATAATTATTGTTTTAAATTGTTATATTTATTTTTATATTAATGTTTTGTATATATTATTGAGACTGAAGAGGCTACAGTAAGAGTCGAAACGTTTCGCTTAAAATTTAATTGTGAATTTATTAAAGTTTGTCATCTGCTTTACATCGTTTGCTTGTTTATAATACTGAAATTTAATATCTTAATTTGTCGTATTTAATTTTTATTTACTTTTTACTATATGTTTTGTTTTAATGCACGTTGTATGTGTTCTTTACAATCGTAATGTAATATCATTTTCTTTTCTTTATATCAATTCCGCAACAGATTCTAACTATTAACCTTTTCAATGTATATAAATTTAAAACTTTCAATGTATATAAATTATGTTAATGAAGGATTGAAATTTATTTATAAAGGTAGTGATTCACTTTTCCTCGCTATCACTACACATGTTTGTGGGCAAATGGAAATCCTAAAAATGGAATTTGTTAATTGTGGCGTGCAAGTCAAGAACATGTTTGAAGATTTTTCAATATTAGCAGCAAGACATCGTTATCTAATGGAGCATGCGGAACTTTTGGTCGAAGTAATAAGTTTCGTTTTGCTTGTGCAAATGCTGTTTAGTTGTCTTATTATTTGTTTGATTGGTAAATATTTTAAGTTAGTTATTTCTCCGGTTATGTATGTGTGTAACATATTATTACGTGTTTATTAGAAGAAAGGTGTTCAACTTATGGAATATTGTAAATTTTTCTGCAAAACGGTTTGAAAATTGTATTAATTGAATGGGAGAAATACTATCTAATTTTTGTATTTCTTAATAACATAATAAAAAATATTAGATAAACTTTGAAAAATTTCTCTCAGTAATGCTAAAGAAAGTTAATTCGTGCATGTTGTTGAGTTATATTGTGTGCTTTTCAGGTTTCCAATTTATTTTGGCATTGAAATCGCATGATGTAGTGATGATAACTAAAACGATAACAGTGATGAGCGCTCTGTTGTTACAGTTATTCTTTTATAGTTTCATAGGCGACTATTTAAAATGTCAAATGGAAGATGTCGCTCAGTCTATCTACAGCTGTAATTGGTACTGCTTTCCACTGAAGTTAATGAGGAACGTTTTGTTCGTTATTATGCGGTCACAGCAACCTGTTCAACTGTTAGCTGGCAGATTTTTCGTTGTAACTATCGAGACTTATATGACCATATTAAAAAGTTCTCTCTCCTATTTGTCCGTCCTACGAGTGATGATGGACTCATAAAAAACAGATAACGATTGAGAGTAAGATTTAATAAAAAAGAAGTAACACCGTACATATACAATACATTTTTGTATTTTGTATTTAAATACCTTCTTTGAGTATTTTGTATTTTAAATTTGTTGTAAATACTTAATACATCAGATTTTCGGCGATGCCCGGGAATCCGGGATCAAAAGCTAGAGTCGCTAGACAGCCTATAATGGGTGCATTTCGTTGCCAGCGCTGATGATCATAGATCTTTTTTGATCACCAGATGGAGCCATTTTTTGGCTCATTAAACGCGAAAAATCGCGTTTGGGCGCACGTGGGATTGAACTCGGGTCTACAAATCGCGAGTCAATCGCACAGAGCGGTGAACCACTCGACGCCACACAGAGGTCTATAGATATTCGCAAAAATTCTCGCAAGTGCTTTGATTTGAATTTCTTTAATCGTAAGTTAAATTCAAAACTTTCTCTTAAAGATGATTATTAATCATCACGTTAAAATCTTTTTCACTGAGCGATTTGAAGTAAATATTGCATTTTTTAGTCTTTTCTCTAAAAATTTTTTTTAATTTTGCCACCGGTATTAGCATTACCCGAGGTGTACCATAGAGAGGGCGCCTTAGTTATTTTATAATTATAATATATACATATAAATAAATTGTTATAAAATTTAATAATAAAATTAATATAATGTAATAAAATTTAAATGATCACAAAAATCTTGTACGATTTCTGTATCACAATTTTTTATCACATTCTATTAGTCCAGTAAAAAAGATCGTAGCATAAATTGGATACAAAATGAATAGAATAATGTACACACTCATAGAATCGTAAAGGAAATTTATATAAGAAGCGTATATATATTGAAGCAGCAAATGATTTGAAAAGAAGCGTTTATTTCGTAACACTTTTTCCACTGTTTCAATATGCTTGTATCACTCTTTTCTTACATTTGACTTATTTCAATTTTTATTTTTGTCATGGTAACATACATTATGTCATATTTCTGCTAGCATTTTTTATCAAGAAAATTTATAGAAGATATATATTTTGCAAAATCTATGTTCAATTCAACAAAATTGAACCATCTGTATAACAAATATAACAAATATAACAAATAAATTTAATTGTTAATACTGCAATAACACCCGAGTTTTGTTTAACAATAAGAAACAAATGCACTATTAATCCTATGTAATATCAATTATTCTATATATGTATTCTTGACAAGATCATATAGGAATAAAAGGTATTGAAGATCACTGACAGTCAATAACTAAAAATAATGTAGCGGAAGAGAAATACAATATTTTCTCTTTTATTCGATCTTTGCTCTATCCTATTCTACTCTTCTATTTAAGAATTTATTTCCTTCAGTATTTGAAATAACTGTATTTTGGAAAATAACAGGGTACATTAGTAAATGTCAAAATTGCGGTATTTTAATAAAATATGAATGTAGAACACAATGTCGCCAATGATCGATTTATATTATAGGCAAAGACCGATGCTTACTGACAATGAGAACCATGAACCGTATAGCTGTATTTGACTACGATAATGCCTTTGAATGACGACTTGGCGTACGCTATGACTCCTTTAAAATTCTTAACTCTACCATTAGGTGTTTGGCCTTTACAAAAATATAACGTATTTTCTTTAGTTCGTTGTATCGTGTGTATCTTCAGTTTGGTACGTTTTCCATTTTCATCTTATACATGTAACACGCAATAAAATTATACTATTCCATTATAAGTTTGACAGTTTAAGTGAGCGTGGACAGTAGAAATGAAAAAAAAAAATAAAACTTATTGTTAGTAATAAACAGTTCATCTTTCCTGTCTGTGCAGACCGCGCTGATGGTTGTATTGTTCCTCGAAATTAATTTCGGTAGTGGTGATGCATATGTAAAACTCGATGCTCTTATGATTATGTTTTGCGCTGTTCTCTCTGTTTTAAAACTGTTGTCCTTTCGCATATACGCCGATAATCTGGTTCGCAATTTCTCATCTGCTGTAAATGATTATTTTACGATCGACACCGAGGAGAAGCGCACGATCATACGACGGCATGCTTTTATGGGAAGGATGATTTGCTACAGTATCATATTTTTTGCTTATTTGGCTTCATCAATTTTCATGCTGACGCCTATAATAGCAGGCAACAAGGACGTCCAAATTAATGTGTCTATTAAGAACCAAGCATTAGAATTACCCGTGCCCTTACCATGGGCTTTAGGAAATTTTAATCTCTCTACGAGCTTATACTTGTTGATCTCTACAGTGCAATGTATTCTATTGATTCTTAACAGCACTAGCGATTGTGGTAATTAACAAATTATTAATATGAAAGAAACTTTGCATAAAGTATAAATACGTTGATTTACTTTAAAAGTATTATCTTTAATAAAATTTATATAGAATAAGTCTTTTAATTTTTATTAATATTATTGGTATATAAACTAAATTTCATGTTTATAAAAATTTATTTTTACTATAATATTAAAAATACTGAATCATCATATGATTTTTAATAGATATTCTTTTAATAACGTTATATACATAGATTGCTATAGTAATGATACATTTGGTTTTCTTCACATCATTTTTATATTAGATTCACTTTTATATTAGATTGTAATTGATAATTCTATTATTATTTTTAAAATAATGATTTAAATTTCGTGAGAGTGCATAATTATTATTTCAATAATAATAATTACTAAGTAATAATAATTCATAGCGTAGTTTTAATTTAATTTAAATTGTTTGGATACATCAAAATATTTATTTATCAAGGATGCGATACACTTTTCCTTGCAATCACTCTTCATGTTTGCGGACAAATCGAACTTCTAAAAATCGAATTTATCCGTTACGGTATGAAAAACAAAGATATAAATGAAGATTTTTCAAAATTGGCGTCTAGACATCATTATTTAATAGAGCATGCAAAACTTCTGGTAAATGTAATAAGTTTCGTTTTGCTTGTGCAAATGCTGTTCAGTTGTCTTATTATTTGCCTGATCGGTAAATATTTCTTCAATTTCATTTCTTTGCATAATACGAGTTCTGTTATACTGCTATATAATATAAATTTTTTAAATCTTTTTTACTTAAAAAGTTATAAAACTATCAAAAATTAATCTTATCAAAAATTATATATTGTAAATATCATATAATACTTGTATACTGTAAAAATCATATAATACTTGTATATTGTAAATATCATATAATACTTTCTCTAATCCTATAAGTATCCTAATAACATAATAAAAGTAACAAAAATAATTTTTGTGTGTTAGCGTCCGAAAGTTACTTTAGGTATCATCTAACCAAGATGTGCATTTTTCAGGTTTTCAATTTATTTTGGCGTTGAAGTCGCATGATGCAGTAATGATAACTAAAACCATAACAGTGATGAGTACTTTACTATTACAGTTGTTTTTTTATAGTTTCGTAGGCGATTATTTAAAATGTCAAATGGGAGAAATCGCGCATTCAATCTATAGCTGCAATTGGCACTGCTTGCCAATAAAATTAATGAGAAACGTTTTGTTTATCATTATGCGATCGCAGCATCCTGTTCAGTTGTTAGCTGGCAAATTTTTTGTCGTAAACATTGAGACTTTCATGGCCATATTGAAAAGCTCCCTTTCATACTTATCCGTCCTGCGAGTGATGTTGGACGCATAAAGCACAGGTTATCATTGTAAGAAAAATTGGAAAAGTGACATCGTTATAAGCGATATTACAAGCAATATCGTAAGCAAAATATTATCATACGTTATACGTTATATATGTATACTCTATAAATTATTCTTAATGGAAAATTCATATCATCTGGATGTATATTGGATTGAATAATCAAATTAAAGTTAATAAAATTGCATTTTTTTATTACATCAGTAAACGCATTGCATTTTGTTGTTAACATATATACCAAATAATTTTAATATACATATATTTATATTTTTTTACGTATATATTTATTGTCTGTTACTTTTGTCCGTTTACATTTATGTTTGTATTGTCAAAATACATTTATAATAAATATTTATATATACATTCTTGAACTTGCTCAACTTGCTTCAAATACCCGCTATAATTTTATAAGATGGTGGAAACTTGTCGCGCTTTCCTATTGATCAATAGAAATGCCCGCGCATAAGCACACCTTCTTTCTTACAACATGATTCCTCCCATACGTTTATTGTTACGTCCGCGCAACATTTTTTACGCGATACAACGATCATGCGGTGTAACGCCGTCTCTACATGCGAATAACCTAAGAGCCGTGCTGACGCGAGAGCGTCGCCACAAGAGAACCTGCCTTAAAATCCCCTCCTGTTGCGCAAGCATCCCTTCCTATTGCGCAATAGATAGGGCCCGAAAAGCGTGGGAGTAGGGCGACGGACCCTCAACAGAGAGAAGCCTGAGAGAGGCCATGCCCGGGATTTAGATGTTACTTTATTTTGAAACGCCACTTATGTCCACAAAACGTGGACATTAAACTATGTAGCTAATGTCCAAGATCGTGTCGGTAATGTCAAAGATTTATGGTTCGAATCTTCCCTACGTCCATGATTTAAAAAAAAAAGCCTCTGAGGTAGAAAAATTGGAACTAAAAGGGTCAAGTGACCAGAAGTGGGGATATTCAAATCTATACGCGCATAACAATATGAATATAACCGGTTATAATAGTAAGTTCCTAAGCGATGTGTTAACTAATGTTATTAACATTATAAAGTTTGCATTATTTAAGATAGAGAAATATACCGTTTCTCAATCTAAAATAATGCATTCTTAAATAATGTTAATAACATTAGTTAACACAATGCTCAGAAACTCTCTTAACACAAAATTTGTCAAATATTAAAAAATCTTTTATTTTTATTAATATTTATATAATAAACATATATTTTTTTATACATTTTTCAAATATTACTATAAAAGTTACAAATAGTTTTCGCTAATTTCATTTTATTTTTTTATTACTAAAAATATAATGCAACACATTTTCCCGTCTCACTTTACAGACTGCGGACTGTCGGATATACAAATATTGAATACCCGGTGTGGTTAAAAAATGTGATGCATAGCATTTTCATGCTCCACAGCATCATACACACAACTAATCGCACTTAACAATATACTATAATATTTACAATATGCATTAATAATATGTATATAAAAGTATATAGATACAATTTACAACATAAATCTATACATGTATGAAAAATTGAACAAAATACAATATGCCGTACATAAATCATAATAAAATATTAATATATACACAATTAAAATATTTTCGAAAAGAGGTTATTAACAAAGCAAAACGAGAGGAGCAATTAAGGAATAAATACTAATAAAACAAGGTGGGAAAATCAATTAAAAACACCAAAACAGTTGTAATACACCCTCTTGGATTTCTATTATTTAGACGCCTCTTCCATTTCCGAGATTCGTCAAATAACTACCGATACAACTTGAACAATCTTCGATTTTACACCTACGACACATTCCACGTGGCGTATACCTCTCTTCGAAAAATTAGTTTTAATGTTACAGATATCATTTTATGTCTCGATTGCAGCTTCTCCATATGGTAAGTGTGATAGACAGTGTAGATTGAGCCAAGTAGCGACCGAACCTTAAAACCGACGGGACGGATGTGGGAACGACAGCGAAATCGTTGCGA